GCGCCCGCAGAGGGCTGCTCCCTTGTCCCCTCTCTGAGCCGGCGGCATCCCTTGGGCACTGGGAGCTAGCAGGCAGCAGATGTGGAGAAGCGCGGAGGGCAGGGGTCTGGTCTGGCCAGCAGTGGCAGGCGAGCTCAGGCCTGGCACGGCCCTGCTGGGAAAGCCCGGCCGAGGGGGTGCTCAGTGGCCAGGCGGGGGCAGCGCGGGAGGCGGCTGCAGTGGATCCAGCAGGCCGGGATCGCGCCAGGCTTTCTGTTCGGAGCCCGAGGCTGAGCTCTGTCCTGAAAACCCCAGAGAGCCACCGAAGGGCTCAGCATCCTAGCTCCAGGAAAACAGTCTCAGCCATGCGTGGGTCCCTGAAACAAGACCCCCACCTGGAGTCACCTCCCACCGATGGGCCTTTCCATTCAATGAGGGGAGGGTGCACTGGATTTTAACATGTCCTATACCTTATCTCAAAGACAGAAACAGAATTAAGCATTAAGTAACCTTTGTTATTTTAAATAAAATGATGGATTTTTTTCCCTTTGTATCTCCCTGCAGGACACTGAACATAAATATAAATAGATATTATCTTTACAGGAAATAAACTATTATTTATATTTATTATACATACCCTATAAAGTGGCTTATATTTTGGTTAATTAGATTTTTTTTTTACTAGAATTTAAGTTTTTCTTAAAATCATCAGTTTTAAACTCTGCGTCCCATCTCTCTGTACACAGTGACCAGAGTCGCTGCCTGGTTTTGAGTTAAACCAACGGAACTAGACTATGTGAATTGTGATACAATTAACATAAGTGGGTTTTTTGTTTCGTTTTTGTTTTTTTGCTGTCTGCAAACCATTCTTAACGCCTCTTAATACTGCACGGTGGGAACTGTACGGATCACACGCCAAAGTCACCTTGTTCATGTTGACTGAGTAGCAGACCCTTTCTCTGCCCAGCAGTGCTGAGAGGTGGGAGGAGAGGATGAAAAGTTAGGACCCCTGCTTTTAAGCGCTCTCTGTCTGGCCTTCGGATCAACAGCCAGTGCAAACAGAGGTGTGTACACAGTTCTTGTTGGAACAGACTGAAAAAGGTAGTCTTTCTGGCCAGGGGGACAGAGCAGGCTGAGCTCAGAGGTGAGGATGACGTTACAACCGAAAGTGGGCTCACGTATTTAAGCTTCTTAGCAGGACCTACCAGACCCTTCACTGAGTCCCTTGCCGACCCAGACAGTATCAGCTCCTGCTTTCTCTAATTATCTAGTATGACTGCTTAGTTTCATAGATGATCATGTTTTTTTTATAACTCCCAATATTTACATAGCAAAATATGAGTAAATAGCTACGTTTGTGCCAGGCATGCTTCCAATCTTCACAGTCCCACTGGGGCAGGTATCACTACAGAGCAGCTGCACAGATGGGAACTGCAGTGAGTGGCAGTTTGGAGGCCAAGGAGCTCGGCAAGGTCACCAAGCTGGTGAAAGCAGAGCTGGGCTATGAAAGCCCCAAGGACACCTTGCCCGGCTGGTCAGCTTCTACTGGTCCCGATACTCCTGCTGGCGCCGTTCCCACCTCCCTGCCCCACCAGGCAGTGTCTCTCTGTCACACGCCTGTGTCTGTCACAGCCCTGACGCTCTCCTTTACCATCTCTCCAGGGGACTGTCGTGACTTCCAGGACAGGACCGTGTCATTCAGCACTGCATTTCCACTGCAGCATGGCAGATGCTGGGACAGTGTAGCTGAATGAATGCTGATAACTGATTCAACCTGGAATATCTTGAATATAAGAAGAGTCAGGACCTAAATACAGCCACAGAATCTCTCTGGGAAGGACTGTGCAGCAGGAGTTGGGTAGAGACAGAGGAGGCATGGTTATGGATCATAATGTCTAACCAATGCTCAGTGCTGTGGGAGTTCTTTTTAGGGACACGAGGTAACATAAAAACTAGTCCCTGCTCCTAAGGAGACTTTCATCTAATGGGGGGTCAGTGACTGACAATGTAACAGGATGGTTAAAAACAGAGACACTAATGTGATGGCTCCAAACTGGCTCGCCCAGTTACAGGGAGGGGGAGCTTACATTAGTGAGTTCACCTCTTGAAGCTTAAGTGCCTTCCTTTGTAAAATGGAGATAACACTTTCTTACAGTTGTGAGGATTCAATGAAATTGTTTATACGAAGTGATAAGCATGTGCTTGGTCATATGGCAAACTAACCAATCTAACCATATGCTATGGATGCTGAAATGGGGAAGTGTAAACTAAGCACACTATTTCAGAGAGGGTAGAGGGACTGCCACCAGAGATTGTGACCTGGTTTAACGGTGAGGACATGAAGGAAGAGAGGGCCCTGGGTCAAGTCCTGAAAGATCAGCACGGCTTCTACAGGCAAAGAAACAGGGAACAGCAAGCACTGGCTTGTCAGCCTGTCACCTCCCCATGACCATGAATTACTTGGATGTAAGGCCCACATCTTACAGATTTTTGTATTGCCAGTACTTCCTTTGTGCCAAGTAGAACTCATGCTCAGTAAATGTTGTCAAATGAGAAAACAAAGCCCAAGGCTATAGATGAAGGCTAGGGAAGGACGTGGGACAATGCAATGTGCCCCTAGGAACAGGGTGAGGCTGTCGGTCTGCAGCAGAACTTCCCATTGAAATGAGGAAGAGATAAGGCTTGGTAGAGTATATGCCAAATCAGGGAAGCCCTGGAAAGCCAAGCAGAATTCTTGTCCGACAGTGTTCCTGGTGGTTCCTGACCTTGCTGGCTCACCAAGCTCTTCCTATGGTCCAATGGAGCTATGGGTTTTTTTTTTTTTAAATGAACATAAACATAAAATTGAACAATTCCTATGAATTAGCTCTTAAGACCATCTGGGGGTTTACCCTGTATCTATCCACAATATCTGCTTTAAGAAACATACATTTATTATTCAAAATAGTGAAAAATTTCAATATAATGTCACACATTGAAAAACTGTGTTATATGTCTCATTACCCTTCTATGCAAGAAAGGAAGCAAAAAAAAAAAAAAAAGAGGACTTCTTTTGGTCTATGAAAGTGAAAAGAACTATTTTCTTCCTAACAGTAATTTGTTTTTGGCTATTAAGGAAAAAAATTAGCTCATGTATACCCCCATACATACTAAATATGTATATTCAGTGTATTCAACTGTGACAACCTTCACATTATTATATCATTTCCTAAGTTACAAAACGTTCTTGCAATGTTACCTCACTTAATTCTTAACAACAACTACATGAGATAAACATCATTCTTACAGTGCTGACTTCCAGAGTGAGACTTGTCCAAAGCCATATAAAAAGGGCTCAAATACAAATACTTTTAAAAAGTAAGACTGTCTGGGGTGTCAGGGTTGAAGTAGTGTTTCTGATGGTTTAGAAAAAATAAGAGTATCTGAAAAGGGAGACCAAACTAATGATACCTTTCCTTCACAGATCCCTAGACATCTTTTGAATTTTATTAAACAACTTTTTAAAACACACTTTACAATATTTATCTCATAAAATAATTTGTTTTGCAAAATCTAGAAAGGGTAGAAAAGCACACACACAAAAATCATACTTCCACAAGCCTAAGATAATTATTGTCAAAATTGCTTAGTATATCTATAATACTTGCCTAAAAAAATAAATAAGCAGGGTATCGTTTTTAAAAAATGAAATTAGGATCATATCATTAGGTTTAGTATTGTTTTTACTTAATAATTTATTAGGAAGTTTTTTTCATGTTTGACTAGACTGTTTTAATATTTTTGGTGAAGAAAGTGATCCAGGTACTTAAATAGTGTGATGACCTGAGCCTCCCAGCTCTGCAGGGCAGACAAAGCTGACTGGGTCTGACTTGTTTACATTCGGGAAGCTTCCTCTGGAACTGGCCAAGTTAATGTGCCGTGATCGCTAGTGCTGGTAATGGGAAGCAACGTGGGGTATCTTCCCTGTGACTTCAGGTGAGCATGAAATTGTCTTCATCTTCTGCAACACATCAAAATAATTGCAACAAAAGGCGCTCACCTTTGTCTGCTCCAGGGCCACTCCAGTTCCTCTGACTTTCCAAGAGAGCTGACATTTCCTACCAAAAGAAAAGACCTTTTTACTCAAAGAGAAGGAAATCCCTCAAGAAATAAAAATTAAACATTTCACATAATCTACAATTAAAAAAAAAACTTAAGCCAAATGATTAAAGAATAACTTTATCAAATATTTGTCCGTTTTAAGAAGTGCCCTCAACTACTCATCAAATAATGTATTACAAACAACTAGTTATGAGGTTTTACATTTGTTTAATAGGGAATAATTGGCCCCAATTAAACTGACTAAACTAAGACTTTTTAGATTACTAAAACAAATTAAACTTTTTAAAATGAGAATTTAGGTGATCTTAAAACCTTTCTAAAATGGATAATGAAACTTGCTAAGTTGTAATCTCCCTGGTTTTATTAGTTATATTAAGATAAATTAAGTGAGATTAAAATCTTATTTGATTTATTTACCTTTGAAAATGAAGACCGTTTAAGGGTTACACATCCTCAGCCTTGGCGAGTGCGACCTCAATTAGTCAAGTCAGAATGTCTTTAAAAGCTTTGTGCTTATTGCTTCCAGCAGGGAGCGAGGTGTTCATTAAGGTACCAAAATTCTCATAAAAAATCCAAAGTTGCACTAGTGAAAAAACGCTCAACAAGATGAAAACTGATCACATCTTTTTCAGAAAATATTATTTAAAACCAGTTTTTAAACAAGATTTGGTTCTGCGTAGTTTTAACGTGCCACTCAAGCAGCTTGATACCATGTGGACTCTTTAAACAGCATTTAAATCTACGGTGAGTATCTCATGGTACCTTTAATTTTGTACCATTTTTTTAAGTAAGCTGTACAATGTTTAGTGTGACCCTTTTATGACAAGCGTTGTTAAATGAATGCTTTCCCTGTTTACAGCTATTTATGAAGGCCTTTTTAAATAAGAAAAACATGAAATTGTTAGCTCACACACACCAAATTTCTTTCAAAAGTTTATTTAGTATCAAGCAAGAGGGATACTTTGCTTAACACTACAGAACATTTCAAGACTTGAGTTACAAAAGAATATACCACATTATTTGCACTTATAATTGGCTTCCCTTTTTACGCATGTTGGCAAGAGAAAAAAAAACTAGCATATGGCTGAAAGATAAAATAAATTTCTATGGAAACCTTTAAAATGCAAGGTGAGGCTTATATTAAAAGAATGGATTAACATATTTAGTAAACCTATTTTTTTTTAACACTAGTTAATCAAAGTTATTTTTTTTTCTTTTGATGACCTATTTTTTCATATACAGACTGGAAATAACAAAATTTTACATGTCTTTTTTTTCTGCCCAGGTTGTTTCAACAAAGTAGTTTTAAGTTCCATCCATTCATATTTTAAGCATTTGATTTATTTAAAAAGGGATTGTTCATAGAAAAAAATTACTTTGAACAGTACACAGGACTGGCGGAGACTGGCTATTTCACAACATCAGACAGTACAGTCAGTATCTGCCGTACGGCTGCTCCCTGTAGACGCCCTTCGCTGTCCTCGCCGAGGGGGCCTTGGGTCTTGACTTAGCCCACTCCTCTTGCCCTAAAATCAGTAACATGAATCACAATTAGATCGTTGCCATGGATCCTACTGGCTTCATTTTTCAGAATCCAACTTAGCCCTGAATCAATGGTAGATGTCACATTGAAGATATATATCCCATGCACTGAAAAGGCCAAGGGTATTTACTTAAAAAAAAAATTACAAACCCAGTGGAAAATGGGTCCTCTCACTAGCAAAACCCATGGGAAGTAAAATGATTTTTGTACCTTAAATGGCAACCAACTCTGCAAGAAGTTCCCTTTTGGCCACTCATTTAACAAAGCACACAAGCTCAACCAGCAAATGGAACTGCCTTTTGCTAAATATTAAGACATTTATGGATGGGAAAGAGAATGAGAAAGAGATTGCCTATATTTTCTTAATGGCAAAAACAAAGAAAACACAGATAAAAATGTGTGAAGGCAAAAGAAGATAAAACTGGAGGGCGACATGGAGTGGGCCCGGGAAAGAGCGAGGCCACACCGTTCCCATCCGTCCTTCGATAGGAGAGTAAATCACAGTTGCACTGGTGGAAGTTTATTCCTCAATTGTATACATGCTGCATATGAAATACATTTAGTGGCATAACATCAAATTTCACTCATGACAATACTCAGTCCATACCAGACAAAAGTATCAATATTAGAGGTGTTCTATCATCTCTACCTCCTGAAATTAAACACCTGTGCAACCTTGCACTTACAGTGAGGAATCTATGGGTCTCTGACAACAAACAGTTAACATACCTGCTGCGACATTCCGCAATTTAAAAGCTATGTGTCTACAGAGACCAATTTAAAAAAGCTCTGAAGGAAAAACGCTTAAAATGACCTCTTCTGTTGATACAATCAGCAATCAACGTCATTCCCTCAAGCCAGCTTGCATCAGTTTAAGTAGACAGCACTCTGACAAACCAAGGCATTTCTCTTTAGCATTTGTTACAAATAATACCACCAAAAAAAAACAAAAATAAAAAAGAAAGAAAATCTGAGTTCTGGTCATCACAGCTTGGGGCAGGTGATATAACAAAATGCACTTCAAAAAAAACATCAGGAATGGGGTTTCAGTTATGTTCAGAGAAATGTCACAGCATGCATTAGCCAGAGTCCTGATTCACTTGCACTGGGTACATGGCATTTCTCAGAGCTTTGCGACTGACTGAAGCTTCACGTTCTCTGATCTTTTTGCCCTGCGGCAAAGGAGTTTCTTACTATCATTAATGTTGCTACCGCCAATTCTTTTAATTAAACGTGTCATCCTTCTGCATAATGAGACTTTGGACACAGATGCCTACCAGCTCCCAGTGAATTAAGTGGAGTTTAGCTGGCCCCCTATAAGCCTGAGAGAGCTTTCCATCTCCATCCTGGCTCGGCTTTTGTAACCTTTGTATAATGACTCCCACTGTAATGTTTTTAGAGGATTTGAGATTAGAGATGAATTAAAATATAAAAATGAGGGAGGGAGAGTCATTTCAGACCTGTATTCTCAATTGCTTCATTTTCCTTTACTGTCAAGAAGCAAAGACGCTTCGAAAAGACCCATGCTATCAAGTGTCTGCAATTTGGCAAACTATTTTATAAATACGAAAATCAGCACTTGGCAATCAACCCCAACAGAAAATCTAAGTTCAGAATCTGAATTCATGCAATTTTCTGCAAGTCTTTAGTCCCTTTAAGTATTACATTTAAATCTTAAAGGAGCTTCTGAAAATAGCTAGATCTGCACAGATGAACTGAAGAAGCTCCATTTGATACTCAACATGCCTTTGTGACAGAATTGTCCCCTCAATTCAGATATTTAGGGTGTTCATTCCCCTGTCTAGTTATGATTCATCCTGGCCAGTTACTCACCATAGGAGTCGTAAGTCTCTTCACTGAGTCCATGTCCATAATCATAGTAATCAGCACCACTGTATTAAACAAAACAAAACATGCGAAGAGAGAAGATGAAAAAGCAGTTAAGACAAAATGACTTGGCTGTGAGTTTAAATCATATTGTAAAGCTTAAGGATAACTAATAATGGGCAGGGCTGAACACGGAAACAAATTCCCACTCAGACGGCAGAGCTCTAACATGAAACCTTAGGCCTGAGGATTACCAGGTCCCCAGCTTGAACACATGACACGTGTCTGACACCTGAAGCACAGCAACTGGTCCATTGCCTCAGAGAAGGCGCTGACTGCACCGGGGGGACAGCGACGGCCTCTGTCCCAGGAGTCTGCAAGAGAGAGGGCGGATGTAGTGGACCATTAGGGACCTGTGCTGGGGACCCAGGGAGAGGAGGAAGGAAAACCACGGCATCGCTCCAACAGATGGAAAGTTTACACAGGTGAGGTCATCGGTTCTCTCTGACCCTTACCTGCCAGGCAACATGCTGCTGTGTCAGCTGCGGGCACTTCACTTGGCAATTCAGTAACCAGTACCAGAGTTAAGGCTTCACTGCCCCAGGACTCTGGCATCACCCTGAGGAAGCAGCTCACAACTGGGGCAAGGCGTCAATGACCGTGTGACCGGAGGGCACGGGAAGGCTCCCCGCAACCCAGCACGGCGCCCTCACAGAGCCCGTGAAGATGAGGCCGAGTGTCTTTTCAAGCACAGGCACATCTATGTCCTAATGTATAGCATCCTTGAGATGTCAGCTGGGAGGGAGCCTGTTACCATGGCAACGTTGCAGATTATACAGAACAGGCACCTATACACAACCATACTTGGATTAGGCACCTTTTTTTATGGGAACAAATTTGTGGAAAATCTAGATGACTAACCATAGCAGACACAATTGGTTTCTGATGCTGTTTTGAGTAACTGAGGAAGAACTTCCACTTACCCTCTCAGGCTTTCCACTTTAATTCTACTTAATTCTGCAGGGTAACAACTGTCCTGAATTTGTTGTCTTGGATTGTCATAGAAATAAAACATTCTCATTATTCCAACTTCATGCAATCAAGTAAGAAGTTCTTGTCAAAATGGAAAGCGATCCAATTCAGCCGTTTGACACCTGAGGAAGCCGCACTGTGCTTAATAAAATCCATGCTCTGAGTGTCGCCATGTGCCAGCTGCTGAGATTCTGTGCAGAGCCTCACAGCAGCTCCCGAGGTGATCGGAGCCGACGTACCCACTTTACAGACAAGGAACTACAGCTCAGAAAAGCCAGGACGCCAGCCTAAAATCTCACAGAAAACAGTGCAGGGGACACACTCAGTGGGTAAACCTACACCTGGTTCTTCTCCTGTTCCCTTCATCAGGTAGATGACACCCCAGAGGAATCATGAGCCCCATGACTAGAGTACATCAGGGCACTCCCACGAGGAAGAAGAGGTGGGCAAGGGTCTGTGTTCCCTTTGTCTCAAGCACATGAGGATTCACATCTGTTCCTTCTGCCAGAAACGTTCTTCTCCTCTTTCCTTCTAGGCTACCTCCTCAAGCAGTCCTTGACCCAACTGCTCCCCCCACGGAACCTTCCCAAGCTCCCAGGGTCAGTACAGCACACTCTCCCGGCTTTTCATCCCCTCCCGGGCCTGAACAGACCCTCACTCTCCGTGGACCGCGTGACTGGGTCCAGAGAGGCGGGGCACCTCTGTCACTCTGGCACGTCATGCCGGCTTCTTGGAGAACGTAACAACACTTGAACAGTGTGCCGAGGCCGGCCGGGTGACGGTGAGGAAGGAGGTGAGGACAGAGGCAGTGGCAGCGGGGGCCTTGCAGGTGGAGGGAACAGTGTAAGCAAGGCACAGACGCAGGGCACAGGTTGAAAACTTTTCTAACAAATAGAGTTAATGAACATTGACAAAATGCCTAGGATAGAATATTCTCAGCATAAAACACTTCCACCAAGTGCAAGATGTGGGTCAGGTCTCGTTGTCCTGGTGCAGTCAGGTCCTCACAAGTCAGTTAGGTACCGTGGGGCATGCTGGCTGTGATGTGAGCTCCCTGGCATGGACTCCACCGTAAGCTCTCTGGACGCGCTGGGCTAAGCTCCACTGGCTCTTTTAACTATTGCCCAGGAACAGCATAGTCACTCCCACATCTGACCTATTATACAGTTTTTCCAAGCAATGTACAGTTTTTCCAAGCAAGCACAAGTAGCTACAGAGTTTTTTTTTAAAAAAGGTCTTCAAATTGAGATCTGGCATTGCTAGTGAACCTGGAAAAAGGCATGGATGCGAGGGGAATGGACCAGTAGGAGTGAAGAGCCAGACCCCTGCCACACCAGCGGCTTCTCCGTCCACGTGCACCATCTCACACCATCTACCTGAAGTCTCTGTGCCACACGACGAGGCAGCTGAGGCTGGGGCGGGGGTCAAGCCACGGGCCCTGGGGCTACCACTGCCGTGTGCTGAAAACTCAGGCTAGAGGCGGGCGTGCTCAGCGTGGGGCCCGGAAGAGCAGCACCTGATTTCCTCCGAGCTGCTTGGCCACTCTTCTGGAAGGGCTTACTTGACCTTCAGGGGTTACATGATCCCTCCTTCTGCTCAAAAATGTAAGTCAGGGTCCACACGACCTGCTCCATGAGCATGGCAACTATAACCACCTTACTTCTCTCTCTGGTCTCAAATTCCTCCTCTCCCTCTTTGTGGTCCCAATTTTTCCCTCCAGGCATTAGATGCTTTACGATGAGTAGAAGAGGGACTAGCTGAAAAAGTGGCAAAGAAACTTCCACATTCAGAAGGGAAAAAAGTAGCAAAAATAAGCCAACACCAAAAGAAACAATGTGGCTTTCCTACTTAGGTTTGAGAGCTTTAAATATGAGGATCGCTCTTAAAGAATATTTTCCTCATCTTGAGGACAGACACTCAGAAACCTTTTGATAAAAACCTGGGGTCAAATCCGGTCTAGACATCTGAGTCTAAGCCTCAGGAGCATCTCCCGCTCGCCGGGCCTGGGCGCTCCACACGGCAGGTGCCGGGTCTGGGTGAGCTACTGCTCAGACTCCTAACATTCTTATGCACAGCACCTGGCCCCAAAATATAACTTCTCGTTTTGCTGAAAATAACTTGGCTAATGCGTCTTAGAAACTCAGCACTAAATTAAATGAACCTCAGACTTCTCTCTAAAGGTCAGAAGTTATATTTATAATGACATCTTAGGCAAATAAAACCTTGATGTTCTTGAGAATTTTATCTTTGTTGCAGAGACAAAGTGAAAGTAACCTCTTTGTAAAACGGAAAAGAATTCCCTCTACTGAGACAGGCCCCCACCGCTTGGCCTGGGACTGTGGGTGACAAGCACTGAGCCTAATCGACAGGAGAGCACAGCAATTGCTTTCTGAGCAAACTAAGTCTCCTTTATTAAATGGGCTGAGCAGTAATGAACATCAGTATAGATTGGAAATTTGTCTGTGAGGTGCTCTAACACAGCTGAGCATAAAAAAATCGAGGGTGAAGAATGTTTTCCAATGAACAGGAGGATAAAAGGTAGCATAATTTGGTCTGGCAATGGTTTGGTGATGAGACAATCTTAGTTTTGACAAGTGAAAACTTTAAACTGACATTTGCTATCATTTCACCCAGTTTCTGATTATTTATTGCAAGCCTGTCATCAGGCTGTGAAGCTGGGAGCAGCTGAGCCCCATTCTCATACCTGTCAGTTCCATCTGAATTGCTTTCACAGCATCCATTCCGTGCACCTCAAACGTCTATTAACCAAAGACGTGTCCTATTTCCCAAGGATAAACTAAAAATCCATCACATGGCAAAGGGAGAAAAACATTAAAATTTCTTCATTTATGGATACAAGTTATAGGATTGATAATAGGCAAGAAACCACATTAGGCCAAATACACCTCAACTCCACATTAGGGGGTCAAGGGCAACTCGAAGGGGAGATGGGCTCCTCCCACTGGCACAAAGGCCACGCCTCCCAAGGCCTTCTAGCCGTCCTCCACATTCCACCCCATATCAGGGGCTGAAGGAAACCCAAAAGTTCTGAGCAATTCCTGGCTTTCCCAGAGGTTCTCAATTCCACTGCCTGGAGTCAAGAAACAGCATAGCACCAGGAGACACAGGGAGTGAAGCGCAGTGCCTGGGGCCTGCGGGGCCTTCTACTCTGCATCAACGGGGTTCAGGAGGAGCACAAGAAGCTGAGTCCCCAGACCAGCCCATCTCTATGATGGGGGTGAAGGAACCCCTCACATTTATGTTCCCATCCCTCAACTTCCACTTTAAGGTCACGAGAACTAATCTTTTCAGTCCCTCTGTCAGCTCAGGCCACTCCAGACCGCCGGGTTCCTCTTCGCCTCTAATGCCTGTGCAGTCCACCCTCCCTCTATCCTCATCGCCCACCCGACCCCGGGTGCCCGGTGGCATTCATAGCTGCCACTGGCAGAAGCCCCTACACATTCTCAGCCTCCGCTCTGGGCATTCCCCCACCTCTGTCCAAGCGGACACGGGGTTCCCCTCCAATGAGCAGTCTTCCCTGGGGCCCGCTCCAGTTCCTCCTCTCCCACAGCCCGCGCACATGGGCCTGGAGGAAAGGTGAGACTTTCCTCACTAATGCCCCCCAGACACACGCGCCACGGCACATCCAGACCAATGCTCTGTCCTCCCCCTGTTCCTCCGGACACCCAGCTCAGAATCTCCCAGTAGCGTCACTGCCCGAAGTCTTGGTGATTCAGCACGTGGGTAGATGATCCTTCAAACAAGCTGTCTCTCGAGTCCCTGAACAACTCCTGTCCGCCGATCGGGCCTCTAGTCTCCTTTAGCCATTCATTCCACATCCCACCCTCCATCTCGTCATTACCTGAAATCTTCCCGCCTCGCTTCAAGTTCATACATCCCATTTTCACTGGGATTTCCTCTCCTAGACCACCCCCTCCCTCTAGTATTACGCTATCCCTTCAAATCCACTGCAATCAACCCCTCCACTCCTTTTAAACTTTTCATCCCTTGTCACGGTAACAGTGAAGTTGCT